TTTCAATTACTCAAACTTGCTTGATGATATCTTTTTCAATTTTCTTTACATGGTCATAACGTTTTCACTATTCCTCTGAACCAATGTATGAAATACACCTGAAAACCCCGAAAAAGCAGCTATTAGGTAAGAATAATATAAAAATAAACATAACCCTCCTTCTGACGCAGTTAGGTAATAAGGTAATAAACTAAATGTATCAAAACATTTCACTCCAACTTACTGTCAACTCAACGACGAGCTTTAAAATCAAAGATTGACTTTGAATTATGCCTTATTTTACAATACACATTGAAAACAATATGATTTGCTTGAGCTTTTTCGAATTTTTCACAAAAATAACAAATAGGCATGAAGAGATTACAAAATTTCTGCAGCGGCTGACAGATCTCTTGATTTACTTTGACAGGTGACAATAAAGCCATAGACAATGGCCATATGAAAAACACACTTTTCCAATATTTTTGTTTGCCATGAGATTCTGGCACACCTATATTACTTATTCTATGCCGCAACGCATCGTGTGCTTTGGCTCTTAGGCGTACCAAGACCGAATTGAGCTGTAAAATGGATTAAAATATGGTAATTGACGCTTTGAGAGACCCAGGAGCTAGACCATGCAAGGTGCATACCAATGAAGCTACGGTGACCGATACTGATTTGCTAGCCAAATGGGGATCTTTGTTAGAATAGAGTTTATTGAATTTAAGATGTAATTTCTTATAGGACCCTTTAAAGACCTTGGCTGTTTTGAAGTAAAGAAGTAGTTAAAATGTACTGAACCTTGAGATTCCAATGTTATGCTTCTTATATTGTTTCATCTCAGCACTTGCCATATTACGCCCGTAATCACAAACGATGCTTGCTTAAGTGACACAGCAAATCGAACGCACAGCGTTGAATAGAACTATGTGATTGGTCCGCGTGTCTCCCTGTGCGTCTACGCGCACTGTGAGACCTCATAGTAATGTTTGCGAATACGGGCGTTAGTCTCGAAGCTCTGGTAGGATCCAAAAGATAAGGAGACATTTTGTAAAGTAGGTACTTACCTCTTGGGCTAAGTACTCTTTTTTATTTTATTTTACGTTCATAAGTGCCAAAATGCTGGTTAATATCAATAAATATTTAATTTTTTGATTTTGCCGATCTTTGATTTCATTTGGCAACCGAAAATAGATTTAATCGAGTATAAACTAATAGAAAGTTCAATGCTAACATCAGATGGGTTTATTTGTTTGCTGAATTGCCAAAGTGTATTTGCAGTGGAATATTATGAAAACTTTACTATTATTATTATGTGTAGTACTATCAAAATACATTCATTCATTTCAGGACTACTCCAACGAACAACAAACTTTCTAGTAAACTAAGAAAATTGAAAATCAAAATAGATTTCTCGCACTTTTTCAAGTAGCTCAGTGTTACTTGCAAAATATTAAATTGTGTCTTCCTTTTAAAAGCCAAATTACCATGAAATCAATTTCCCAACCTGGGAAAGGGCAACCGATTGGTGAAAGCCTTGTCAACAAACCGTAAACTTAGTTTAACCAGTTTAACTTGTAATAAAATTTGGCGGTATCCCGTCGAATTTGCGATTCCCCCCTCTATTGTTTTCATACCTGAGGGTGATACGGGGCTTACGGGGCTTAAGATATTGTATTTCATAGTAATCTGTAGGGTCAGCAACAATGTTGCACGCCGGTCCATTAGGGGTGTATTGTTGGGAGACTCGTGACGTCACGTGCCCACGCTCCCCGTAGCGCAGGGAGAAAAGCCAACTAAATTCATGTTTTTTGAGTGAAAATGTACAGGTTCTCGTATCATATCGTAATCACTTTTCAATTATAACCAACATGTAGTAACCCGAAACTAAGCACAACTTAATGTATTACGAGTATTGCGATTAGCTAACTGATTTATCCTACTAATATTATAAATCCTACTATTATAATATTACAAATGCGAAAGTTTGGATGTTTGGATGTCTGAATGTCTGGATGTTTGTTACTCTTTCACGCAAAATCTACTGAACGGATTTTGATGAAACTTTACAGTATTATTGTTTACTAGCTTTCCGCCCGCGGCTTCGCCCGCGTGGAATTTTGTCTGTCACAGAAAAACTTAATCGCGCGCGTCCCTGTTTCAAAAACCGGGATAAAAACTATCCTATGTTCTTTCCCGGGACTCAAACTATCGCTATGCCAAATTTCATCAAAATCGGTTGCGAGGTTTAAGCGGGAAAGCGTAACAGACAGACAGACAGACAGACAGAGTTACTTTCGCATTTATAATATTAGTTGGGATAACCCAGAATAACATATAGGCTATAATTTATGACGATCTGTGACCAACTAAATTTCACACGGGTGAAGCCGCGGGCAAAATCTTTTATAATATTTTAACATCAAACTATTTTCACCGCTGAATAAGTACTATGTAACCAAGATTTACAGCTTAACCCATTTAGACCGATAATTATTTTTGTAAATAATAATTGATCAGCAAGAACTTACAAAAGGAAGCATAAAAAGCATGAAAAAAATATTTTAAAAAATAATCCATAAAAAGGGGGCCGTGGGGAGCCCGTACCATATAGGGTACAGTAGGTCTATATGCATGCAAAACATACTAGTTGTTCAAAGCAGGTTTTTATTTATTTTTGTATGATATAAAATAAAAATAAAATCACATAATCACCAGTATTACTCTTGGCATAGCTTGTAAGTCGTTTTATGTGGCACTAATCACATTTGGTTCTTTTTTCCTACCTTCTCCAAAGTTAGTGAGGATAGCTGAAGAAGACCTGGCTTCTTCTGACTTGTTACGTTTATTGCTATCAATAACCGCATTTAACAATAAGATGACGGAAATTTAGCAAATCCATCGAAGAAAACTCTGAGTATAATTATTTACATTGACACTATCTTTATCGCCTGAATCTTCGTCAGTCTGATCACCATTAGCGGCCATCTGATAAGAAAGCAGTGAAAAAATACCAAAATTGCTTTGTTTGCTGAAATAATATTTTTTTTCTAGAGTTGTGGCAATCAAGTGAAGCATCAATAGCCTAAAACAATTAAAAATAATAAAAATTTAATTACATTTTCTCGCATGATTTTGCTTATGCATAGACCTACTGTACCTTATAGGGTACACCTATTTTAGACTAGAAAAAATGGTATAAAAATAATCTCAATAATATTTTTTTTGTAGTTTTGATATCTATTGTACTTTATTTTTTAAATAAAATTGATAAATAATATAATTTACCATGAATAATATGAAATATGCCTTCTTGAATACATTGTAAATAATTTTTTTGTTTTCTGTCGAGGAATTTTAAAAATATTTCCGAAACCACCTGTTAAAACGCATTTTTCAATATTATTATGTAAAATAATCACTTTAAGCTTACTGTCACAATCAGTTTTACAAAATAACAACAGTTTGGTACTTCAAAATATTTTCAATAATATACCGTACCACATAGGGTACGGTAGGTCTAAATGGGTTAAAGGCCACGTTTGTCCCGGAAGAAAGTAAGTAATAACTGTCATTAGACCCGCAACCAAATTAATCAGAATAAGGTAAGGGGAGTTCGAAATAAAATTGTCTACAGGACAGGTGACAAACAAAGGTTTAAGTAACCGTAAGTAACTGGACTATTCCCACCTATCATTCCCACCGCTGCAACTCCTGTATAACCAGGACCTACACTTACAGCTTGACTGCTAATAAAAACCCAACCAGTGAAGGCAAAGTTTGCTTCGGGAGAAAATTAACCGTAAGTAAATTGATTACTATGACTAGAAATATAGAAGCATGGAGATTATTGGAAGAGGCCTTTGACATAAATCCAAGGACAAACTGGAGAAGAGTGCAGTTAATAAAGGCTTAATAAGTAAATTGTTTAAATTTTCTCAAGTCTATATCACTACCGTGGCTGTTCTTGTTGCGCCATGTTCGCTACAGGCCTCTATCATCTGTCAGCGTTACATTCCTTTCACTCCGACTCGGCGTCGAATTAAACCGTAGCCATGTCGGGATTTCACTCGACAGGTTTATTGTTCCAAAGCTTTATAGGTATAGGTAGAAGCTTCTGGATTTACCCAAAGAGTAGTGATTTATTAGGAACAAAATTTTTTTTATGCCAAGGCAGATATTTGACCACAATCGCACCTGATGTTAAGTGGGATGCAGTCTAGGATGGTACATAATATCTGCCCTGTAAGTGCCTATTCACTCTCGCCTTGAAAACGCCCGGATTATAGTCTTCGGGAAAGACAGCAGCAGGCAACGAATTCCAGTTCCTAGCTGTTCGCATTATAAAAGAGTCATCGAAACGCTTAGTGCGAGCTGGTGGAATGTCAACAATATAGGGATGGTACGCTAACCTGCGTCTGGTTCATATTAACACTCAATGAAGAAAAGGTGCATCTGTGACTGTAACGCAAGCTCTGTTGCCTGGTTAAATACCTAGAGATAGTTCTTATATGTAGCGCCGACACAGAAACTGGGTAAAACGAGTATGCAATGTTATTTATCTACCTAGACTAGCTTTCACTCTAATTTATTCAATGCTATTTTAAGTAAGTTCTTCATGTAACTAAGAAAACGATACTTTTGATTTCACAAGCCTGCTTGTACAATATTTAATTAAAACTATTATCTTTCCAAAATACAGATTTTTTTTTGTTCCTTAGAATATTATTTCTGTAGGTGCATCTTCACAAACTAAAATAATTAAAAATCCTTTGGGCTATTTGTATGTAACGTATTTGTATACAAATGCGGCCATTCGTAATGTTCATAAACAAGATGGTTTCCTAAGCAAACGTCAACCAAAACCTCTTAGTAGAATGAAACTGCATTAACCCATCAAACCCCGAGGGGTCGCATAAGACCGCGTAACAATTGATTTCTATTGTCTCTCGATTCGCGAGGCTTGAAGGGTTAAGGGTAAGTGTATAAATTATGGAAGTATTATAATGAAGACTCACCTCGCACCAGCGTCAGTATCCCAAGCGGCATCACTAGAATCGCGACCAGTAGATCAGTAATCGCCAGCGACATCAAGAAGTAATTCGTCACGTTCTGCAGTCTCCTCTCCAAGTATATCGCAAGGCACACCAGCACATTCCCAGCTGCCGTACACAGAACCAGGATCAACGCTACCAACGCCCACCAATTGTTCACCTCCCCACTGTCATTCAACGTGGCATTCTTCTCAGTTATATTCCCAGTAAGATTGAAGTTGAGGGTTTCCAAAGTGAAGTTGGCGAATCCATCCCAAATGTCAAAGTCGCTTTCAGGTTTTGGGATTGGGTGAAAGAATACGAGCTCATGCATTGTGGTCACCTGGTGCTCCCCAGTTCATTTTTGGTAGCCGCTCATTCATCTTATTTCGTAAATGTGGTAGATTGTGTGCGGGAGCTCCATGATGGGAGAACTCACAGCTGTGGTCTTCTGGTGGGCATCTGGAACAATAAATATGACATTAATTACACAGTTAAACTTTATTTTGTGGATGTTTTATGATTTACGTTACTGATAAATTTATAGGAAATACTCGTAGGTATGTTGAATTCAGATCCAGAATCCCCAGAAGGTTAGTATATCTCTAAGATTCCTCAACTCGTCTGACCAGTGTGGGACGTGGGGAATGTAGGCCGAATATTCCATTTGCCTTTGGTAAATTGGAGAGGGTCGTACTCCTGCAGTGGAGACTAAATGATTTGCTGACCAAGCCTGATGATGATGACGATTATGATATCTTAGATTCAGATCTAAGCTTCAAATGTCGATAGATATGAAAAATGATTCTGTGTAGTCGGTTTATTTAAATCAAGAGTGCCTTTTCTTAAACATTTTCCACTAAAAATAATCATTATAAATGCTGGTCTAATCAATATAGCACGGTCAATATGATTAAGTCATAAGTTATGGTAGCTTATAAATTATGACATCAAGGTTGTATAATGTGGCGGTAAGTACACGAGTAGGTACACGATAAAAAAGATAAGAAGAATTGATAAACAAATCGATACTTTAATAGTAAACTTACGATTACGCTTTACCATGACTTTACACTAAACCTACGCGAGTGAATAAAAAAAATCAATGAAAATTTTAGTCCCTGAAAGTAACCGCTAGCGACGCTGCATAATCTGTCATTGTTTATGCAGTCACTGGCGAACAAACCTAATATAAACTCATGGTGAGCAATAGTGAGCATACTGGAACTTCTCTTGAAAACGTCATAAATACAAGTTTCATACACATCGCAACATTTCAAAGAAAAAAAAAGTGAAAATTATACAAATAGTGTCCTCATTTAAGTCCATTTTTGCATGACAATAACTAATTGAAAACGTCGAAGCTAAAGTTAAACAGATTCTAGCATAGAGTTAACACAAAGAGAGAACTCGTGCGAAAATGAGCACAGATTTAAACTGAAAAAGGAAATGTCTAAAATTATTATAACAGAAGTTTAATTTTGAAACGGGATTTAATGTTTAAGTCAAATACATAAAAAGCTAGAGCTAATAATGGTGAATTACGCAAGTATTAATAAATTATGACAATGTTTTTTCAGTAACCAGAATATAACAGGTTACAACATTCAGAATATAACAGGTGACAAAATTACACAATATTTAATTACAATTATTAATTATGCACAGAAAATTCTATGGTATAGGTGTGAATTTTCAAAAATCTTTGAGTTCTCTTTCTTTTCAAAAATGAAGGAATGTTTTCTTTCAGTAAAATTTTCTATCTACAGTATTAATACTCTTAAGAGTACTTTCCCTACAGCTATAGGTGGCATTAAAAAATTTCACCCTGTATAGCGAACGGACATTTTATTTAATAAATCTTTATACATAACGTAATGGTCATTTTGTGTCCTGTATGGAAAACTTTTGGAAGTTTTGTTAGAATTGTTGTTATGTTATTTATTTAAGTTATCTTTTAATTACTCAGCCTACAGCATACCGAAGGCTCTCTCAGATGGGAGTATCCTTACGTCTGCCAAGAAGTCTACATTTCGAGAACCACATTTCGTCGAATCTTAGACAAATTTGGTATTTGTAGCCTACTGCCACTTGAGTTTGCTATATTTTTAAGCTATGCCCTACAACAAGAACAAGAACAAAACTTACAAATAGTTAAACTTTGTTCTTCTGTCGCACGTATCAAAAATAAACTACATGCTATTTTTATTAGTAATATCACAAACGACAAAGAATTTATTGCAGAATATTATTTATAATTTAGTCGCTAAAACCCAAAAATATTCTTAAAGTTCTCAAACAATTCAGCAACTCAAGCGCGAACACTTTGAGACACGCATGACAGATGAAGAACAAAGAAACTTGGCAACTTTGGGCAACTTTAGGCAACTTTGGAGCTTGTCGAAAGTTCGCTGAAATGTCCGAAGGTGAATGAATTTGTTATGGCATAATATTGGAGTTTCAAACTACCTACGGCAGGTCAGGCCTCATGATTTTTGATATTATTTATAATCTACGGTCGATTAAAGTTAGTCTACAACTAATTAAACCGATGTATTTTGAAAGAAACTTTTTTTCTCAATTGTATACATATGTAATATGTATATAATATTAAGTAGGTACCACATTTCAAATATTCTAATGTTATAAAATTATTTATTAATACCGTTGTTTTCTTATTACACTTAGTAAAAATGCTCAGTTGTATAAAACACTGGAAAGCTATGTAGGTATTTACCTAAATGCCATTTCTGTTAATTTTAATTAAAATTACCAATTATTCCATTTCGAAATGATATTCTCGTCTCGCCTTTAAAATTGTACATGATTAATCCATTATGGGAATACAAGGTAATTATATCCCAATATAGGTAATTCTGACAGTTTCCAATGAAGCTGTCCGAATCTTTTCAGTGTCGATGCTATCTGTAGCATAAAATGAAAACCTTTCGAGTTAATTATTTCAAGCAGACGAAAATTATTCGAAATGTTCGTTCTCGATGCATTAATTCGTCGAATTTAATCGAAAATGTCCGATTTGTTTGTTGCAAAGAACTTAATTGAACAGTAAAATTGCTCTCTTATTTCATACTACTTTACGTTATCCTTTTTGCTTTAATTAATTTCAAGGATATTTCTTCAGTTTTAATTACGTCCACGTTTTGTTTTTAATTTCATTTATTTTACATTTTTGTATATTGCCAGGAACAGTTAATTTTAGATGGCGTTCATAAATATGCCTTGATATTTCTGTGGGTACTTTTTCATCACATTTATGTCATTCCATATCACACATTATTTATTGTAGACCCGTAAAGTTTAGCTGTAAGTATTATCACAGATTACTAATAAGTTATTTATATGCTTGTATCAAGGCGCGCGCGCATGGATGACTTTCGTCACCGTGACATTATGTCTCACCATACATAGATAAGAATGAATACTAAGTTGTCTCTCTTTTCTCTTTAGAAAAGTGTAAAAGAGAAAGATATACTGTCGCGGTGACAAACTATCACCCGTGCGCGTATAGCCGTAGTACTTATTATTATTCTGTGGTATAGCCTTAATACGAATCGACACTCCCATACCAAAACCTTTGTGCTATTGTCGCGTCAACAAGCTTGACATACGGTCAAAATACCCGAATCCATCATACATTGACCCCTTCACAAAACACCACCCTCCTGAGCATCCACTCTCCGCTTCAAGCAGATATTTTCAAAACAATCCGAACATCCGTCAAAGTCCACAAATGGTTAAGGAAGCCACATTTTAACGTAACAAGGTTTGAAGATTTATCGCGGCCATTACACTCGGATTCACAACTTGGAGTGGCTGTCAGACGCAGTGATCCCTCCAAGGAAAAAATACCTCCAAAGAATCGTGAGGTATGGTCTTTACAGCAGCGGGTAGTAATTAAAAGTAACAGTAGTAGATAATAAATAGATACCAACTACCTCAGTGTTTTTCAACCTTTTTCATGACGCGACCCCCTTAGCATGAAAAACCCCGTTCGCTTTTTTTCATGCCTTTTACGAAGATGTTGTAGGGACCGAATTTTTCAATCTATACAACATTTATGCTGAGTTTTTTTTTACTGAGGTAGTTTTTACGACCTCTCGCGACCGGTCGCGACCCACAGGTTGAAAAACACTGAACTACCTAATAAGTCGCCAGGATAGCTACCCTCGGAGATGTAAAAGCGCTTTTTTAAAGCCTATTTGCAAAAATAAATGAATTTTATTTATGAATTTTTATGACATCGAACACTCCACCACGTACCGACTACATAGAGTGCCCGACTAAGAAGAAGAACTAATAGTAGTTGTTTTTCTCTTTTTATCTCCTTTGTTTTTGTACTATTAGTTGTCAAATAAATATTTTTTCTTTCTTTCTTTCTTTAATATGTAGATATCAACCAGTTTTAAGTAAGAGAAAGCTCATTTTCCAACTGAGGTGGTTCAAAGCTTTGTCCAGATTCACATAGTTCTTCCCACTAAGGTGATCGATGGAGCATCGGGGTTATTTTTAGTAATTTAATCGGTATGTCTCATCCTTCTGATGAGGGGAGCCCCACATAAATAAGTAGAATATAACTATCTTAATTCAGAAACCGAGTTCTTGTTCAAAGATAATATAACAAATATATTTCCTTATTATCACAATGTAAAATGATCCAAATTGGGTCAGTAACGTAATAAAGGACCGAATTAAGATGAACACGATTCATAAACATGGTAATTACTGTGAAAATTGAGTATTTTAAATAATATAATATCTTTTGCAAGCGTTTGGTAAACAAATTGCTAAATTATAGGAGGCGAACTTGTAATAAAATAAACATATGACCTATTTATTTAACTATAACACCATGGCCTAATTGCAGTGTCAAAATTAAATACACTATAAAAATAAGCTACCTGCTACAAACATAATAGGTAGGTACTTAGGTACACCAAGCTATTGATATTCTCATATTTTTAAGATATCTCACACAATCTGTCTCCAATATTTTAACTCCGCTAATACTCCGACCACATTTTTTTTATCTCTTATAAAACAAAGTGTGACAACCACAGAAATTACCTCGTTTACTTTTTACCCGACTGCCAAAGGATAATTATGCTTTTAATCTGATTTCCTAAAACTCTTGCTAGGTAAGTCTGTAGAAACTAAAATATAAAATGACGTAGGTATTCTATGTTTCTCGTAAAACTGTTGATATTACGTTAACGGTCATACCGTTTACGTAAATGGACTGCTATTATCTAAAACTATTACTTAAGAATTTGTGTTTAAGTGCCCATTATGTAGCACGTGCTGACCAATACCATAAATTGTCAGTATAAAATTAAATGAAATTTTTAGTATTGAGAATATTTCACATTCCTAAAAGGCACCAAATATGAGAATCAAACATATAAATAAAATAATTTATTCGAAATACTT